AAAACGTTTATTATTTCAAAACAATGAATGTATAAAAATTTCTTTAGAGATTATACCATCATATGTACTAATCATTTTTTTTTTTTTTTTATAAGTAAGAAAAACAAGGGCATAGCTAAGAATTCCTGGTTTCATGATAGATTAGCATTCGGCTACATGAAAATTGTCAGGAACATAACTATCAGAAAGCTAAGATGCACGAGCTAATAGAATACTACTACTTGTTTAACTTCGGATAGCAATAACCACACGGAAACAAACTGTCATAGATTCCATAGTCATACAAGGTTACCGATTACAAAAACCAGACTCTGGACAATATGATATGAGATAACACGGGATGCATATATATAGTCAAACAACCAACACAGGTGATATGATAATAGTACGATATGGGTGGACACGATAGGAGGATGTTTTGGTAATGGGAAATTTTTGCTGCTTCAACTTAAAAACCATGGATCTTGATGTTTTCCTTCTTCACGATACCAGCCTGAACAAGGAAGGTGGAGACGTTCTTCCGCTGGTCACCTTGAAGTTGAATAACCTATGCATTCAGATGGACAAGATACAAATAAATGATGCAGAACAGTAACAGAAAGAATCAAAGACTAATTTTACACGAGATTAACATACCTGTCCTAATTCAGGGTCCTGGACAACAGTGCCATTGCAGCAGAACTCCTTCTTGAGGTCCTTGAGTATCTTATTGTAGCTGAATTCCTTCTTCAACCCCTGGACAGTTGTCAGGCTTTTTCTACCATTCCTCTGCTGAATACGGATATGCACATACTCCTTTGCCCCAGCTCCAGAGTCATCAGCATTTGCATCAGCAAAAGGATCTAGCACCCAAGAATATCATAAAAAGTTCAATTATCCATGTATCAGACAATTAGATTCATAAGAAGCATGCATTCTATGATGTGAAGAGCTTACCAAAGGTACTAGGAACCTGGATGTCGAGATCAGACATGAACCTTAGTTGACAGAAAAGAGCCTAACGACCAGAATGCTCAGACCTGTATTGAAATTGAAAGGATTGGTCAATCCTCATCAGCAACATAACAATACGGTCACAATCCACATGACTAAGAAAAACAGCACTAAATAACTCTACAATAACATTTAAAATGCAAAAGCATCAAAGATTGATTTAAGCAAGAACAACAACCACTTAATCTTTGCTTTAAACTTTTTGACAAAGAAAATCACTCCATACTGTCTAGAACAACAGTTACTACCACAGGCCACATATGACATACCTAAGCAAGATTTATTTACTTTGAGCAATTTCAGCATCTCAATAACCTAGATAAAAAAACCTAATCAATATTTCAGAGCCCACCAGAGATTATATCTCATTATAAGCATCACCCAACCTCACTCTAATTTCTAAACATAAACCAAAAACAAAAAAGAAAAAAAAAAAGAAGCATATGCACAGCAGAAGTATCCAAGTTTGTTGAAGAATTAAAACAGAGAAGAAATTCGGGAGCTTGAATGCTTGCAGCACCCCTACCAACACACACACACACACACACACACAAAAGTCCACCGCCACCCTCAAAAGGGATCACACTTCTGTTGACACAAGGGTATGCAACAGCACAACAAAGCTGGGCTCTCCAGCGTATTATAAGTTTAACAAAAACAGGGAGAAAGGGATTCATGCGGTATATCAAAATTGTATTTATGGATATCAAAATCAACCAAAACAATTAGAACCGCAATTGACACAGGACATGAACAGATCATAATAATAACTCCACATAATATTGATAGGATCATCAAAGCATACCACATCCAAAGCAGATTCAAATCAATTCAGCACAATAGTTTTCCACCAGGGAAAAAAAAAAAAAACCCTAAAATCATAAAATTTCTAACTTTCTTCAGACGAAATTTTGATCTTTGCTAATCCAAACAATTCAGACCCAAATAAATCCACAAACACATAAAAATCCGATCTTTTCCCAAATACTCAAAACGAAAAGGAAAGAAATCGACGAACTTTATCTCATCAATCACTCCGAAAATAAACAAAAACGAGACGGAATTCAAGAACCAGAAGAAACAAGAATCGTACCTGATCCGAGAATTAGGGTTTGAGAGAATCAAATTCGCGATGATCAAAGGAGAGCAACCCTAAAATCCGATTAGCCTAGGCGCGCTCCTTCTCTCTCCTGCGTGCTGTAGGCTGTTTGGCGAGAATGAAAATACGGACGAAATATCTGGAAATAGAGACTGTATAAAAAGACTCTATTTTCCTTTTCCTTCTTATTTTACAATTATTGTTGGGTTCCGTCGGTTGCACACACTTTCATGTCAAATTATACGCGACACTGGCGATGGTGTGTTTGACGTATACGCGCCTGATTTGGCCGTCGATGAATAAAAATAGACACGTGTCATTTCATGAAAGCGAGTGGTTTTGTTTGTGGATGAGAAGACTGGTTGAGTTTGAGATTGTACTCCGTTCCACGGAAGTGTATGGGATTCTAGTTTATTTTGGTTTTGGATAATAGAAACGACGCCGTTTGATTTTCTTCAATACTTTGACATGGGCCCTGTGGGCATGGAAAAACCAAGTTGGGAGTTTTTTTGATGGTTAAGCCCAACCCAATGTTCCATATCTTTTGGACTTGGATTTGGTTGAGAGGCTTTTATTTTATTTTATTTTATTTTTTTAAATTTGTGGGGATATTTATGAGAGTATTTAATATGGTTTTTCTAGCATTATTGTATTTTTTTTATTATTAATTGGTATAAAAATTTATAAAAATAAATTTAATTTTTAATATTAATATTATGTGAAATAATTTAATTTAACAATTAATAAATTTAAATTAATTTTTATTTTTTATATAAATTAATAATAAAAATACAATAAATGCACTATTCATAACTTGCCTCGTTAAAGTATAAGTTAAAAAATTCCTATTTAGTATTTGTACCCATTTAAGAAAATTTTCAAAAGTTGAGGTCCGAATCTGTTAAAATCCCTATCAGGGATATATTCCCCATAAATGGTATGCATGCAGCATGCCTATTTCGGAATGACAAAATAGACCTTGGCACATTTGGTCATGTGGTTTCCAAGTTCTCAAGGAAAAATTCTCTTAATTTAGACACTCATTTTTTGGTATAAATCCTTTGTGAGTATCTCTCTCTATCTACGTCTCCATCCTAGCTATCCAAATGGCTAATTTTGAACCTCCATTCCAAGAGGCCTTGAAAACCCTTTCACTTAATTCTCCTCAAGATGCACCCTCCATAGATGCAGCTGAGGAAGAGTTCTTCGAGCTGCCTCTGATTCATCTCCGCGGTTTAAATGGCCAAGAAATGGAAAGGAAAAAGTGTATTGAAGTGATGGCTAGAGCATCCAGGGAATGGGGGTTTTTCCAGATCGTGGATCATGGGATTCCGGGGGAGCTTTTGAAGAGGCTGATGAGTGAGCAGAAAAGGCTTTTCTACCACCCCTTTGAGGAGAAATCCAAGCAGAATTTTCTCAACTTAGCTAATAGCTACCTTTGGATTAACCCTAGAGCTACCAGCCTAAAGCAGCTTTCTTGGTCTGAAGCCTTTCGTGTTTCTATTACTGATCTCTCGAGAATGGACGAATCCAACAATACACTAAGGTACAAATATATATATCAATCATACATACTTTAGCCATAAAAAAAAATAAAAAATAAAAAGGCAAATTCCTCTTTAGTGTTTTTTTGAATAATTTTCTCTTCTTTGAGTGGGAATTCCAATTTATATCTCAAATTAGTATAAAATATCCATCTAAAATCAACTTGTTTTGGTATTTGCAGTCAAAATATCTCTAGCTCAGTTAACTTGTGTTGGTATTTTATGAAATTTTTATATGTTATTTAAGATTAGTGTTTATCGATTATACCTATAAAAAAATTAGATTCGTAAAAAAATATTTAAAATCACGTTGTTTCAGTAAAATAACACAAAAAAAATTAAAATAATTTCATTCAGGCTTTAAAAATTATGATCTTTTAGAGTTTTAATTTCAAGGAATATTTGTCAAAACAATATAATTTTAAATTATTTTTATCTAATTTTTTGTAGGTACCACTTATGTACACTTTCTACATATTGTATTGTTTCTCTCTTTCTCTCCTTATTTTTCTTTTGCCTTCAATATGTATCCTTAGAGCATAGATTAAAGGCATATTTTTGTTATAAATGTATATAAAAAAATGTAAAAATTGATATTAATTTTAGTAAATATTAATGCCAAATGAATTAATGTAGTTAAATAATTAATAAATTAAAAATCAATTTTTATTTTTTTAATACAAATTTACATAAATACGTAAATATTACATTTTTAAATTGTTTCCTTAAAATAATCTAATGGTACAAGTTAAACAAACTTTTTTTCCTTTATTTCATTATATTTTCATAATCTAATTTTTCAGACAAACCATTGAGGACTATGCAAGGGAAGCTACTCTTCTTCTTCAAAGGTTAGCTGAACATTTAGCAGAGTTCTTGGGCATGAGTTCTAGTTATTTTAGGGAGAACTGCCCACCGAGTTCTACCCATCTCCGGCTGAATAGATACCCTCCCTGTCCACTCTCTGGCAAGCTCCACGGCCTGGTTCCTCACACTGATAGCAGCTTCTTGACCTTGGTTTACCAGGACCAAGTAGGTGGATTGCAGTTGATGAAACATGGAAGATGGTTCAGTGTTAAACCTGCCTCAAATGCTCTCATAATTAATGTCGGTGACCTGTTTCAGGTAACATTTTCTTAATTAAAGAAAATTTGTGGCTTTGTAATTGCACATTCTATCAGAAATTGATTACTTCTTATACGTATTGATATTGTAGGCAATGAGCAATGACGTCTACAAGAGTGTCCGGCACCGGGTGGTGGCTCAAGGTTTTGAAAGATTCTCTGCAGCATGCTTCTACTGCCCTACAGCCAAGGCGCTAATACAGGGTTTCCGGGGGCCAGCAGTGTACAGGCCGTTTACTTATGGAGAGTATAAAGAGCAAATTCAGGAGGATGTCAAAAGCTCTGGTGACAAAGTAGGGCTTCCTCGGTTTCTCCAACATTAAATTAACAGATTTTGTTGGTATATCTGTTTGTAATATACAAATTGGCCTAAATATCTTAGGTTGTGTTTGGGATTGCGGTTGAGAGTTTTTGTGTGTAATTATATAGTACTTTTAGATATATGTATATTTGGTAATTTTTTTTAGATTATTTTTTTCTAAAAACTATAGAAAATCACATTAAATTTATAATAATTTTATATATAAAGTTAGAAATCTCATTTTAGAGTTTTCTAATTGTGGTTTTAACAAAGAACACCTAACATTTAACATAATTATAAAATTATCCATTAAAACTCAATTTCATATAATTTAATTATATCATAATTTATAATATTTTAATAATAATAACAAATCTAGAAAACTTAAATTATTAATCTAGAAAACTTAAACTATTAAAAAATAGTAAATATTATCTTTTAATAATTATATATCTTA